ACCTGAAAAAAACTCAAGAACAAATGATAGAGCAGGCCAATAAGCATCGACGACCATCTATATTTAAAGTAGGTGATTGGGTCCGGGTTAAGTCTAAAAAGTTTTCACTGGAAGAAGATGTGACTCAAAAACTGTTACCTATTTACTTTGGACCCTGGGAAGTTCTCAAAGTATTGGGAGATGCAGAGGGACCGTCCTATCGAATTGATATTCCCCCTCATCTCAAGACTTACTCTGTCTTTCATGCGTCCAAACTATTGCCTTATGTAGAAGGAATGAGTTTCCCAACAGACCCTCTATGATTCCACCATCTATGGACGGAGGCTATGAAGTCGATAGAATCATAGAACATGGGTTCTTTTCTACAGGAGCACGCGGAAGTCCCCAGAAGCAGTTCAAGGTACGTTTCAAATCTCAACAACCATCAGAGGACTGATGGTTTAGTAAGAAGTAACTACTTAAGACTGCTCCTGACATCGTTTCTGCTTATGAACGAGGGTTGAAGTCGTAATTATTTCTGCGGTGGTACTCGAAAATGGGCCGCCAGGAATGTAATAACCCTGTTCAGAAGTAGCCCGAAGCCTAGAACTCAGCCCCAGGCTACGCAGACCAAAATAGGTCTGCGTTGGGCTGTGTGACCAGCACATGCCCAAATCTGAGAAGGCCGTACGCGACTGTGGGACCAAGTGCTAGGCTCAGGAAATTCAAGAGTCAAAGTCAACTGTCAAGTTAAAGGTACCATGCCAGGCCCTTGGTTGGATACATCCACTTGTTGTGCGCAGGTACCAAGACATGCATCCAGGCCGAAGAGGATACAGTTTCAGATCAATCCAGACCCTTACCGGTGTTGAGATCTGGACGGCTGGAGTCTGCATCAGCCGGGGTCCAGACCCCGAGTCAACACTACATAAGCGTGGACTCCCTGGCTTTGACATTTATTAATTTTGCCTTAAGTCCACGCAGACTCTATGATGTAGAAGGCGACACTGGTAATGGTTGGCTTAATGCTGCGACGCTGGTTGGACGCTTGCATTTTGGCTGACATTTCGAGAGATGACGACGCTCTGCTTATCCGACATTGAGGCTGGCTGGCACTTGTCTTCTTGGCTTGCTGACGTGGCAGCTGCCACGCGCCATTGCTGACGTGGCCCCTGCCATGTAGGATACATATTGCTGAGGTGGCGTCATTATGTGACTGGTATTGCTGTTCTGTTCAGTCATCATTTCAGGGAGATATCAAGGCTGTTGTATCATCACTTCAGGAGGAGATCGGGACTGTGAGGAGGTTGTGATACGTACCAGGATTCTTAATGTTGACAAGGCTCTAGCGCTGATTATGGTCTGATAAGGTGCCACGTAGCACATTGTGACAGAACTTCGATATGTGTTCAGATTACTGGTTACTGTAGGTGGCGATAAAGGAAGGAGCCCGGAGAAGGAGTGGGCATTGTGATTTCCTCTCCCTTGTCTTTCCTCCCTCCTTCCTCTTCGTCTGTGTATAATTATCTCACCTCTCTCTCTTTCTGGATACTGTTTGATTATTGGAACTATCAGCGGCTCGATAATCTGGACTTACATTGTCAACATTCGTATTCATGACTTGGGTTCATTGCATATGAATGTATATGGACGGAAAGGTAAATGAAAGGTAGGAAGCCGATGGCAAAGTACGTGGACAGGAAGATGGACAGATACATTCGACAGGTACTACCGGTAGGTGGAACTCTCGATGCATTGCGAGTTACTATGGGCATATGAATATAGATGGACGGAAGTTAACAGAAAGGTCCGAAGTCGAGGGCAAAGTACGCGGACAGGAAGATGGGGAGAATTCTTCGACAGGTACGTGGACAGCCGGATGGAGTACATACATCTGACAAGTACGCAGGCTGCAAGATGGACTGATATGTTCCCCAGGCAAGTCAGGACATGATACGACAAGTAAGAAGGCAAAATGTCAACGGGGTACGACAAGTATCAGTGCATTCATTTCACTTAAATTAGTTATAAATCATTACTTTTAAAAGTTTTAATTTTTCAAAATTAGTTATATTTTTCCCCTAGATTACTGGTCAAATGAGAGTCAGTGACATTATTCCTACATGCATGGTTATAGAAAGAAATTATGCCTCTTTCTTTGATCGCTACCTTAGGAAAAATAGCAAAATAAAAAAAAGGAGAGACAACATATCTCATGGGTTAGATTGAAGTTTCATAAGCAGATGATGAAAAAAAGGGGATTGAGGGAGGGACACAATATTGTATCAAGATTTGAACTGGGGTCTATATATATCAATAGTTCGTATATGTACCAACTCAAGGCATACTCACATTAGCACGCATTTTTATAAAATCATAAATTGTAGGTGATTTTTGGGATCACAAGAGCTACGTATTTTGCGTTTTCACGCAAATGGGCTTGTAAATGTCAGCGGGTTGGACAGCCGCGGGGTTACGTATTTTGCGGGAACCTCCTCTGGAGGTCCCCGCAATTGCATATTTCTTTTAGACCTGTTTCTTTCTGGGAACAAAAAAAAAAAGAATTGGACGTTTGGTGGGCAGCTCTCGTAAGAAAAAGAATAGAAAAAAAATAGAAAAAGAATAGAAAAAAAAACAGGAAAAAGGGATGGATTTTTATGCATCGTGTTGTGTGACCCCTCGGGCCGTATAATCGCTGCATTCCTAGAGCAGGTCGAGTCCGTGTCCTTTCTGTTTTGTGTATCATCGCAAATTGGCTCACATATAATTTGAGATTGTACGTGCTAGTGTGAGTATGCCCTCAGCTAGGCCCGTTGGAGTTCCTTTAGGGCCTCGCTCCACTGCTCTTCATGTGCACAAAAGACTAAAAAAATATCATGTGTATCATACATGCGGCGTATCACGTGCGTGCAACTTGCACGTATGCGTTGCATACTGCACGTGCACACATGCGCACGGACGTGATGCGGCGTAATTACAAAATTAAAAAAACAAAACAAAACAAAAGGGCAGGCTGCCGTAACCAAATGTGTGCCTCCCTTTTGAAAATTGAAAGTGCACAGAAAAAAAAAAGAATAATTTGACGCCACATCGTATCGTACACCTCATTGGATCTTGTCTCTTTTCCAAAGGGTCTCCAATATATCCTGGATTTGGATTCAGCTCTATGTTCCAAGAGTTATGGGTTACAAACAAACACTACAGTAGCTGTCTGTTTTTTTTGTTTCTCATTTTCCCTTACCTTCTTTAAGGGAATAGCGGGTCTGGCGTCACGCTCCCGCCAGGCCCAGCTGCCACTCTTGGGAACGAGTCGGGGACACCAGGGATGGGCCCGACAGACACCCGGGGCGTCGTTTTTTCCCCCCCCTCTTTTGCCTCGCGCGTGACGTGGCGCTGCGACGTGGGGAGATACACCGGTTGTTCGTATGAGACTGAATCTGCTCCGGAACATGGGGAGATACACAGGTTCCCTTTTGTTCGTTTGTTTCGTTTCTTTTTTTTTTGTCATTTTTCCAATTTCCTTTTGTTCGTTTCTTTCCTTTTTTTCTTTTTTCTGTCGTTTTGCGGGCCCGTTGTTTTCGTTTTGGCCTGAGGGCCTCGCTGCACTGCTCTCCAAATGTGCAAATGAGACTAAATCCACTGCTAGAACACGGAGAAATACATTGCCATTTTTTTTGTCTTTTGTGCACGTGGAGAGTACCAAGCGTATTTCCTTTTTTTTGTCGTTTTGCACGCCCTCCATCGGGGAAGTTTGTTTAGCATGGCTCCTGCGCAAGGGTCACATTTGCAAATCGAGGGGGACGTCGCACAGTTGCTAGTTCACGCACAGCACCTGCGGCGCGCGTGTTGTTTTTCCGTGTCCGACAAAGGCGATGGGGACGAACGGGATGAGCGGGAGGGGGGGGGGGGGGGAGGGGGAGGACCAGGGCAGTGGACGGGGGGAGGGGCAACGGGAGGAGCAAGAGAGGGACCAGCGGGAGGAGGAGGAACGGGATGAGAAGAGGGGGGGGGAGGGGAGGGGAGCAGCAGGGAGGTACCGCAGCGGGAGCAGTGGGCAAAGAGTAGGTCTGCCATGGGCGTGACCGTGGTGACCATACTCAGAGAGTTGATTTCCACGGGGCTGCGCTGCATGCCGTGGGCGTAGCTTTTTTTTTTTTTTTTTTTTTCCCCCCTGCTCTTAGTCCCCGCCTCAGTCGCGGCGGGCATCCTCCTTGTCTTACTTACGTGCAGTGCCCCTAAGGGCCTCGCTCCACTCATCAGCTGCACTTGCACAAAAGAAAAACATAATATGGCTTGTATGTATGGATCCAGTTTCTAGGAGAAGATTCATTCTAGTTTTGCACATTTGATGAGTAGTGGAGTGAAGCTATGTTGCATGCTGGCCGCGGCCAGTTTCGGCCTAGGCCAGGACCCCCCCGGCCGCGGCCGGGCCGGCCGAGTTTTTTCGACCTCGGTCTCGGCCGATCTGGGGGGCGGTTTTCGAAGCGGGGAGCGGGTTTGGGGTGGGGGGGTGGGGGGGCACACCCTCAAAGTGACAGGGCATCAAAAAAATAAAAAACGGGGGGTCCTACACATGGCCCTGGAAGGGTGGGCCCCAAAAATTCCTGCGTCCCCCGTGCGCGGGTTCGTCGATGCGGGGTCGCAGGGAAAAGGGTCCGGAATAGTAGAAAAATAATAAAAAAAAAATATTTGACCCCTGCGGGGGCGGCCCAACGTGGGTTGGATGAGGGCCTCGTTGGGGCGGCCCGTGCGACCAGGTCGGGTCGAAGCTAGATGGGGCTGCAGATGGCAGACCCCAGGCGGATTAGGGCCTCACGCACTAAAAGGTAGGCGTCGGTTTCATTCGTGAGGGCGATGACATCTCGTGACATATTTTAAAACAACACATTCAGGGCAATCATAAGTCAGACCCTGCTTGGCACACCAATGTCAAAACACATTGAAAATCAATCACAGTGCGGCGAACCATAAGTTTCAAACAATGATAACCGGCAAGTGTGTCATAGTGTGTGTTCACTCATGAGACTGATGGACATTCATTAGCACATCATTTATGTAAGAACACAATCATTACTATCATTAGCACATCATCCCTATGTTGCATTTGAAATTAACAGCTCATTCATAATGGAGGCATCCATGACATGCAGGTGCGTGGCATCCGAGAAGCACATAATTTGCAACAATCATGACAACAGAGCAGAAAACAATCACCAAACAACAGCGACTCAGATGCAAGACCAATGTTGACGGAGGATCAAGAACAAGAGCAAATATATGACAAAGCATTTCAATGGAAATGTGTATGTACAAGGCTGAAGCCAAAAACTGGACCCGTAGTCTGTACTGTACAACCGAGTAGCAAAACAAAACTGGACCCATCGTCTCTGCTACACAATAGAGTACCAAAAAAATATTGGACCCGTTGTCTCTACTGTACAACCGAGTAGCAAAAAAAAAGAAAAAGAAAACCCTAATGTCCACATACTGTCGTCGTCTCCATCGAACAACATCGATATAAATATGCAACAACCCTGCCGACAGAGCGTCCAGGCTGTACAGCCACGCGAAAAAAAAAAAAAAGTAATGAAAAAAAAAAACACCACGGACGTCGTCATCTCCCACCAGAGTGCGCGCGGCCTCTCTCGGAGGACGGGCGGCCATGCAGTCCTCCCCGGCGACCTCCTCTCCCTCCGGCACCTGTGCCCCGTGCCCCACTGACGTATGCTGCATGTGCTGCAGCGGTTGCCGCGGCCACCTGTGTCCTGTGTCTGCGGATCGCAGTCTCGATCGGCTCGGACTCTGTGTCTGCGTCTTCGTCCTCCTCCGTCTGTGCAGCAATCCCCCTCTCTCTCTCGCTCTGAATCGCGTCCAATGCTACCTGCCCAGCGGCGACCCCTGTAGCGAGTCGAGCCTCAACCTCCGAGAGGCCATGCCGTCGTCTCGTCCCGGGACACATCAACAACCCCTCCTCGCCCGATGTGAACTGCTCTCCCCGCAGCCTGTCCGTGGATGTCCCTGCGGCCTCGAGGACCAATGATCTCCTCGTCTCTGCTCGTGACAAACCAAGCATGCGGCCTGCCATCTGCAGGCTCGGACGTCCGGACCCACCCTCCGCAGCCTACGTCTGAACAGGCGTACGTCCCGTGAAGACGCCCCTCCCGGCGTCGTAATCCGTCCGCAACCGGTCCCCGACCCAATGAACAGCTGACCATCCGCCACCCACACCACCTCGAACTGGCGGCGGGGAACCGCCACTGTGCGCAACTCCGGGTGCCACCGTCCGGTCCCCGGTGTCGACCCTGGCCTCCTGAGTCCGTGCGGGCAGTGGAGGCATCGATCCTGCACTATCTCTGCCGTCGTCGCTGCGTCTGCCGGACCCCACCTCACCCGCACCGGACTTCCTCCCTCTAACGCCGCTGAGCGACGGACCCGACCAGTGAGGGCTCTGCATTGTGAACGGCGGCGGTCAATATACCTTCCCAGGGGCCCGCTGCTTGGCGCTCTTGCGGCTCACGTGTGCGAAAGGGTCATCCGTCAACACTTGCGCCAAAACGTCGACGTCGAAAAAAGTGTGCGCTGTGTCGTCAGGGCGCAAGGGAGGCACTGTGGGGTCCCTCAACACCAAGGCGAGCCTATACGGATCGTCCTCGGGACCGTGGTCGTCGTCATCGTCTCCACCGACACCCGAGGTATCCTGTCGACCCACGGCGACACCCTGTCCCTCATCACCCGCGGTCTCGTTGTCGCCACGCCCCCCACTAGGGGACCCACCGCCCATGACAACATTCTGCCCCTCATCAACCGCGATCTCCTCGTCGCCGCGTCGTCCACCACCTGACTCACCACCCGCGGCGGCATCCTGTCCCTCATCATCGAACTCCCCCTGAACTGCCTCCTCAGGGACACCCGAGGCGTCGACGTCACGGCCTCCCCCCCCTCCTGTCTCCATCTCCCTCTGCCGATGCTGCTCGTCAAGATACACGAACCGACTCTCCCATCGTGGCAAACTCCCCAGCCGCTCCTCCTCCTCTCGGTCCAAACGGGCATCCCTCTCCTCCTTAGTCTCAACAGGGCCTCGCACAACGTCCGTGTCGGTGCGCACCTCCGCCGGTGAGGCACGTCGACGTCCCTCGACACTGAAATCTCCCAAGCTCCCACCAAGCCCTCCCACAAAGTCGCCTGTGCGGAGCACCGACGGCGAGCGGGGACGGATACCGGCGTCGGAAGGAGTCCTCTCCCCCCCACGATCCTCGCCGTCATGTGTCCGCTCTCTGCCTGCTGCCGACGCCAACCTCTCCGAATGCCTAAGTGACTCGGGCTGTGTAGAGATCGGATGATGAGAGGTAGAGAAGCGACGATCGCGAAGGGGCACCTCCTCATCCTCGACCTCCCCCTCGGCCTCGCTGTCGCTCCTAACCTCCCATCGCCTGCCTGTCTGTCGAAGACCTCCCCGTGGCTGCTGCTCCCCCGAGCCGTCGACGCCAACCTCCAGATGCGAATGTCCTCCACGACCACCACCGGCTCTGCTGCTGCCACTCGCCTGTGCGGTCGACGGCGCACCACCAGTGATAACTGATGTGAATGAATCCATGCCGTCACGACCCCCACCGTAAGTGAAGTACACTCGCTCAGCCGTTGGGTCGCGACTCAGCGACGTGTCATCATCGTCTATCCAGTCGTCGTCGACGTCATCGTCTGCCGCAGCAGCGTCCACATCATCCCCACCCTCCGACCACGGTCGCAGCTCCGTCGCTCTGCTGCCGAACACGTCCCGAACCGAACGGGCGCTGGACGGTCGGCTGTCATGGAAAGCGACAATCTGCCGCTGGATCTCCTGCTTGGAAACACTGCCATTAGGTCGCGCTCCCCACACCTCGGGCTCCACATCTCCCTCCTCATCCTCCTCCTGTGCGGTCGTTCCCCCCCGACCAGTCCCCATAACCCATGGCAACACATAACCACCACCCTGCCGTGCGCACGAGGCCAGTTTGAGATTGGTGGCAATCTCAACCAGCTGTGCAAGCTTGGCGAACCCAAGCTTGCAGTGCCTCGCCATGCTGACGCGCTTGTGCTCCGCCCAGTTTCTCGCCGCTGGAGAGGCAGACGTCCACAAGTGCATGACACGGATGGCGATGGTGCGCAACTCCGGGTGGGCACGTCCGTGCTCAAACCACCACGCTGCACATCGCTCGGTCTCGCTGTCCCCCTTGCAATCAGCCACCTCGGCATCCGAGAGGTCACGATCTCCCCAATCCCCTCGCCTCGAGTGGAACGCCCTCATCTGGTCCTTCACGCTCCTGTACAATCTGCCGACCGGATCGTCGCCGGTCTGCGCCAGGAGAAATCTGTCGCATTCCTCGACCACACGACGGTCGTCGGCGGTCGTCTCCAGCGAATGGTAATACGTGAGGGACCGTCGACGAGGGTTGAGGAGGTGGGCCGCGGCATGTGCGGGCTCTAGCATGTGGAGGTTGCTGATGGCAACCTCACGCACGCATGGCTCGATCATGTCTGTCGGCACGTCGACCCTCCTTATCAACTGCAGCAGATGCTGATTCCACTCGTAAACGACGGACATCATCATCCCCCCCCTATCCATCCTGCGCAACAGCTGGTGGACGGGCGACATGACCAGGATGGCGTACTGGACACAGTGCCAAAACTCCCCGTCCCGGATCTGCTGCTGCACCCACTGCCCCTGAGATACATGCGAGCGATCCCACGGGATGCGTGCCCAAGCATCCCTGTGCAACATGCTCTCCAACGCGTCTCGTCGGCCTTTGAGACACGTCAGCATCAGGAAAACCGATGCAAACCGTGTCTCAACGGGCTCGACGAGCTGAACGCGAGGGTTCACCTTCCTGAACAGGGTGTGAGCAGCGCTGTGCGATTTAATAAATCGCACAAGCGCTCGACCGCGGATGACGGTGTCCTTGACCTACCCCACTCGTGTCCCGATATCTGACAACATCCAGTTGCAGACATGGGTGGAGCAGGGGAGCCAAGTGATCCTCCTAATGTCGGGCTCGGGGTCTGTGGCGAATCTGCGCGCTGCCGCCGTATAGTTACTGGCGAAGTCTGTGCAGAAGCCAATCACGTTCTTTGCAGGAAAGGACAAGATGATGGCCCGCCACCTACGGTACACGACGTCCGCTGTGTCTCGGACCGACCCGTCACGTGCGACGGTGGCGTATAGCAGGGCGCCATTGGCGCCCCCGACGAGGAAGTTCACGAGTGGCTGGCCGCTGCGCGACTTCCTCCCGTCGGAAAGGATAGTGGCACCGCTGTGTCGGAAAGTGGCGCGCACCTCGCTCACCATCGTCGCCACCTTTGCCCTCTGCAAAGGGATACCGGCGCCCGCTGTAACCCTGTAGGAGGGAAACTGGAACTGGATAGAGCGAGGCACTCTCTCTGCTGCTTGCCGCACCCTCTGGAACTCCGGACCACGGAAGGCGTTGAATGGCAACTTCTTCACGTAGATCCACTGAAGCCACGCGTCTGTGAACTCGGCCAACTTCTCCCTGGTGTACATCTCGTCAATCGTGGTCTGTCGAGCCCTCTTCTCGCTGCCCGTGTCTGGCACCTCGACGCCAGCCTCCCCCACTAGTAGCAGGACCCGCTCGACCGACGCCTCTCGACGTCATCACCACCTCCTCCCCTTGCAGGTTAGGCTCTCCGACTGCCTCGTCTGCCTCGTCTGCAACCGCCCCCTCCCTGGCCCCACCCTCGCGGCCCTCCTCCTCATCGAGGGCGTCCTGAATATCGTCCCTCTTTGCGTCGTCCATCCGCTGTCTCTGACCACCCGCGGGCGCTCTCGTGGCCCATATGCCCTCGTCTGCCATCCACATCTGCACCCGCTGAGCAGTGGACGACACAAATGTGTAGTCCGTGCCGTTCTAGAGTTCCGCGAGAACTCTCATCCCCCCAGCCTTGCAGAACTTCGACTGCGTGAAATGGCGCGCGGCCTTCGACGGCCCCCCCTGAAACAGGTGGCCGCATAAGTTGCAACGCAACTTTCGGTCCCCATGCATCTTGGACTGGTCCCCGACGTACTGGCCCGCGGCGACAAAGTTCCAAACAATGTTCCCCCGCCTCAACTTCGCCATCTCCTTCTCGGATAGCGGGTTGAAGTGGGCACCCCCAG